ACTATATAAATGGTCAAACTAGTTTGACCAAAATGATGTTTTCAAAACACATTTGAAAAAGAAACACCATGGCATGGTGTTTTTTACAAAAATACAACAAATAAAAACACATTGATTACCAAACACCTAATACGCCCGCCCGCTCACTGTCGCTCTATAAATGGTCAAATTAGTTTGACAAAAATGATGTTTTCAAAACACATTTGAAAAAGAAACACCATGGCATGGTGTTTTTTACAAAAATACAACAAATAAAAACACATTGATTACCAAACACCTAATACGCCCGCCCGCTCACTGTCGCTCTATAAATGGTCAAATTAGTTTGACAAAAATGATGTTTTCAAAACACATTTGAAAAAGAAACACCATGGCATGGTGTTTTTTACAAAAATACAACAAATAAAAACACATTGATTACCAAACACCTAATACCTCAAACATTGGATGTCCAAGATACTAACTTTGAAATGTAAATAAATCACTAGTGATATCCATGAGCTAAAAACCACGAAACTCCAAGCCATGCCTACTAGTCCTGCACCTGATTATAATAAAGCCCCTAATCTAGTAGCAAGGGATCTTGTTCGTCAGCTAGAGACAACACCAGTCCTTACTGTGGACAGCAGGGTTTTATAGTTTCAAAGGATTGAAGTTGTACAATCATGCAAATAGATACTCATAATAACACGCTCAATTTGTGTAACAGATAACAAATTTGCAGAGCAATTAAGCAATGAAGAAAACACTCATAAAAGCATGATATGAAAATCAATAAGATAAAGAACAACTAAAAGTAAACGTCCTACTACTGTGTAGTATCATCTGAAGTCAACTTATTGAGTATCTTTCATGTGATCTTGTTTGGAATGCAACACAAGAAGACTTGGGTCAGAAGGGGGATAAAGCGATCTTTCTGGCTCTATGATGTTTAGTGCATAGTTTATGAGCTCTCTTATCATGTTCCTACCCTACCAATGAAACCTGCATTTGCTATTCCCAATGTTACAGAAGATGTTAGGCAGACTAGGCGATTGAGCGAGCGCCTAGCGCCTAGACCCCTGGGCGTACGCCTAGGCAGCGCCTAGGCGTTTGACTATTTTTAAATTATTAAATTATAATAATTGATAAAAATATGTATTAAATTCATATAAATTTTTAAAAAAAGATAACAATCTTAGTTCCACAATAAACCATGCATACTTAGATACTAAATAGCCAAAATAATAATTAACAATGCTAGAGCCTAAGACGTTTTCTTTTTTATTTTTAATTATAATAATTGATAGTGAATGTCAATGTTATAGAAAGTTTAGATGCCGGACTAGTGTCTAGGCGGATTTCTTTCTTCATTTAAGTGGCGATTGATGAGGTATTGCTGAAGGTCGGAGGAGGTAGTGGAGGTGTTCATATTTGAAGGTTAATGGAGTTTGGAGGACGTGTAGGCTACAACGCATAAATCACAACCAAAGCCTACATGGTGCAATCCACGAAAGCAGACAATGGTCCCCTAAACGCTCGTAAAATCTAGGTGGGTAACCTAAATACCGCCTAGGCGCTAGGTGCTAGGCGCTAATTAGACGGCCTAGGTACCGCCTAAGACTAGGCGTAAACCTAAGCGGACTAGGCTGAGGTTTTTTAAAACAATAGCTATTTCCCTATTAACCCCATCATTTTACCTTTTATAATTGAGGACCATGTACAACCTTAGGTCGTGTCACCTCAAGCACATAAAGTACCATAGACCCAATAGCATCCATGATAGCCCCCTAACAATTTTTTTTTCTGGATCCGCTACTGGGCTAATTAGACTCTGTTCTCCAAATCAAGGCCATTTAGTGGCTACCAAATAAATTGCTATCACATCCTCTAATTTTTTCTTACTTTCAATTTATTGTCTAGCTTGTATAGAATGATACACCGGGGTCATTAAAAAATCACATGCATTCATATTAAGGTCGAAATAAACTTTGCTTACCTTTGTCAGTAATTAGGAGTAATACAAATGTCATCATCACACTGGATGATTCCTAAGTTTATACAAGAGCTAGTGGCTTAGCCAAGAATTAACATCTTTTTGAATAGTATCTATTTACTATCAGCAGTTGGTTTATTCATTGTCAAAGAGAATACTTAATAGGAAAAAATAAAAGGAGAATGCATGAAAAAAATAAAAGAATATAAACATGAATGTTTATAGGTTTTTTTTTTGTCTTTTAACCTAAAGTTTTACCATCACTTATTTAAAAACCCACCCACTTCCATAAATACACCTACATCCAACATACTGTTTGTGACTTATTTATAAACCCAACTGATAATATACTGTCAAAGTTTATATTGTATTTTCCAAAAAAATTCTAAAATCCAAAATTGTCTTACTTCCCCAAATAAACTCATCGGCTCTCTCTTTTTCTCTCTTCTTTTGTTTTACAAAACACTAAACTCAAAAAGCCGATCCCCAAATTCTAGGTGAAGTTAATCCCTAAAATCCTCCAAAGCTAGCTGAACTATAACACTTTATATGAAAACATAGGTTTTTAGGAGCAAAGTATAACACCTTATATAGAAGTATAGCTCTTTAAGATTAAACCGTATCTCTTTATCATTATAATATAGCTCTTTATTGATTCTAGGACTACAAGAGAAATTATTAGTATGTAGTATGTCGTCAAGAAAGTTGTTGGAAAAAAATAGAGGAAGGTTCAATATTTATTAAACTAATTAATATAAATATGAAAGCTTAATAGTTATTAATTTTTGGTTGAGCAAAGTATAACACTTCATTAAAAAACATAGCTTTTATGGGAAAAGTATAACACCATATAAGAAGTATAGCTCTTTACGACTAAAGTGTATCTCTTTATTGTATAGCTTTATATTGGTTTTGGGAATATACAAAAGAAATATTTAGTAATTGCAAATAGAAATCACATTAAAACCAAATTAATATCTGTTATGAAGAGAAATATAAATGGAGGAAAGAGGTTTTTAAAGAAAAGATAGGATATTAATAAGGGAAAAGAGAGATTTTGAAGAAGATGAGGATGCTAAATTGGGGTTTGGAAAGTGAAGGGAGTAACGCGCGAAAATAAATTTCTCTCGCCGTCACCATAATGCAATGAAAAACATAATCGTTGTTTAGAAGAAGAGAAAAAAGGCTATTTTGGATATTTTTTTGAGAGATACAATATAAATTTTGAGGGTATACTATGGATTAGATTTAAACATAACTCATTTGGATACTTTGATGTATGTGTGTTTATTGAAGTGAGTGAGTTTTTAAATAAGTGAGTGTAAAACTTTGGGTTAAAAGACAAAAATCCCATGTTTATAAGCAATAGTTAATGTAACATATGAAAAAATATATTTTAAACAAGCCCAAGCACAAAACATGGAAGAATTGCAAGAAGACGAAATAGTTCTAGAAAACATAGAGGAATACATGTATATTTTTATTAATTGAAAGAAAAATGTACATATTTATTATTCAAATGGTTCATCATCATCAAAAAATGCATTATTGACTATTAACGTTTACTAAAAAAAGGCAGTTACACCCTCGAGATTATGAAAATTACATTTTAAGCCTTCTAAATTTACAATTCGCTCTTTATCAATTTAAAAATATATGCACCCCCTTTGAATTTCATCCTATTTTTGTCATAAATATTATTTTATAATATCATATTTTAATTTTTGGGTAAATAAATACTCATATTTTGCCTCCTAGGAATATTTTTGGATCTGCCACTGGGGTAATTAGGCACTGTTCTCCAACTCAAGACTATATAGAGCCTGCCAAATAAGATTATCTAATTTTTACGATTAAAGCTTCTAATTTTGGCTCGCTTACAATTTATTGTATAGCTTGTAATGATACACTGAGATCATTAGGAAGAATCACATGCACCGATGCACGTATTGAAATTAAAAATAAAAGTTACTTATCTTTGTTAGTAAGTTGGATTGATCCAAATGTCATCATCATACAGGATGATTCCTAAATTTATACAAGAGCTCACATGATTTTCTAAAAAGAAAAAAGATCTCATACAAGAGCTCACATGCAATAGGAAGAAATCATATGCATGTATTGAAATCGAAATAAAAAGTTACTTACCTTTGTCAGTAATTAGGAGTGGTCCAATTGTCATCATCACACTGGATGATTCCTAAACTTATACGAGAGCTCACAATATTTTTTGATAAAAAAAGAATGTTTTTAGAAAGCTCATACATTCTTAAAGAAAAAGAGAACAACTCTTAACAATTAGTTCTCCCCGTAGAAACCACTTTTAAAATAAGGTCATTCTATAGAAACCATATTTGATTGTTTATTTATACATAAACTATCTTTAAATAATTTTTTATTACAATCAACCATATGGACTAAATTTTTAAATCAAGTTTTTTCGGTTTTGCTTTAAAAATTAGTTGTCAAATGCCAAGTATAATAGAGAGATGGTCCTTAATGAAGTTTTGTGGGATCAATTATTAAAAAAATCAACTGACCGATTGGACCGGTTGGCAGTGTGGGCCACTCTACCATTGCCTCATTGCTCTCCAATATGCACATCTTTCCTTTAGATGCATGTTTTTGACTTTCCTAACTTATTCATGCGAGTTTCAATGCATAAAAATCAATTAATTATGAAATCCTAATTACTAACATGATAAAAATCAATATTTTTTCCACAAATTTAACATGCAATTACATATAACTATTATATCTATCAAAATAATTCTTGAATCACAGTAAAACATCAAACCACACAAGATCATATTTTGAAGGGAAAACTTTGAAAAGAGATGTGAAAATAGGGATAGAACCAACAAAGCAAGATGAGAACTTTGACTGATCAATGAATAACTCCTTTGAACTGCAGGAAATCCTCCATCAAAGCCTTAGTCTCTCTCTTCCAAGGCCCTAGATCTGAAAAGCTGTTGGAAAACCTAATCTCAGAGAACTTAGGTCTTTATATAGGCTAGGAACTGGGTTAAATTCGGGTAAACTTCAGATGGGCCTGCTAAACATGTACTTTCTCAGAAAATTATAAAAAAAATTATGGTTTGGATTAAGAAAAACTGTGCAATCAATTTTCTTTTCTATGGCCCAAACAATTCTATCTTTTGCTAGTCCCAACAATTCCTTGAAGCTCAGATAAATACTCTAAAATTTCCAGAAAATAGAAGTAGTGATATATTTGGTATGTCTGTCTTTTTCTATACATCCGCTATACTAATCTAGGTCTAAGGTCTCACAGATGTACTTAGATCTTAGCCAAAAAGGAAGCCAGAAAAAAAAAATCAAATTTTATCTATATATTAAATTTTGATTAAATGGTTGAATTAAGAACTCTTAGTTATAATCTTACTTCTTCATTATGATTATAAATTTATCGCTTTATTCAAATTTATAAAGTTGTGGACTCCCAGAGCACCCCTGTTTAGGGGAGATGAGTATAAACAAGTTTTTTTTAATAAAGAGTACTTATGAATATCTGTGGTTGAATATGCTTTCCCTATTTATGTCATTTGAAATACTATGTATGTTGAAATGTATGCATATTGTGTTTCCTCCTTTTTCTTCTAGGAAAAATTTGCACCCACAATCCCTGCACTTCTTTTCAATTTGGAGCTGGATACCTTGCGGTATGTCTGTTTAATCAAACTAAAAGTTAGATTTAATGTATTAATTTAATGTTCTACTGTATATAAGTTTCATAATTTAAATTTTGCAGCTCTGACTTAGGTCTATTAGGATTCCCCACCAAAGACTTGCATTATCGCTTCCTTTCACAGTTTGTCCCTGTATTCTATATTCGACAAAGAGACTACTCGAAGGTACATATTATTTTATTGGCGATTTAGCTTCATCATGATTTAATGACACTTTTGTCTTGGTGATGCTGAAGACAGTCTCAGTTGCACCTTTCATAGTGAACTACAGCGGAGCCCTTTTTCGTCAGTATCCTGGTAAGAAGTTGATATGAACAAATAATTTGGACTGCCAGAAAAAAGTTAATTTTTTAGAACCAGAGGTTCCAGGTAGATGAATGTTTTCATCTTGTTTAAATTTGAGATTAACATTCAATATGGCATAAAAAGCCTAAGACTTTAGACAAAAGAGACTATGGTGCTTGGCCATGCATAATGAGCCTGAGTTCATTTCTAAAAGAAAGAAGAGGAGCTGTTTAGAGCTTTAAGGGAGTTCTTTTTTCTTTCTTGAAGTTTAGAGAATGTTTTGTTTTGGAAAGAATGAGCTACTTTTTTTGTTTTCTTAGCTTTCTACAGTTGAGAGGCTGATATAGTGTACAGAAGTTTTGTTCATAGTGCTATTAGTAAATAAGATCCATCGACACAAAATAAAAATAAATAAATAAATAAATAAATAATAAAAATTAAAATTGTGCAGCTTCACTTTGAAAATGATAATTAGAAGCACATTATTGAGTTATAATACAGCTTCACAAAGAAGCATAACACTGCTAATATGATCTTTACCTCAAGTTTTTTCAGATGAGATAACTTTCTAGTACTTTTATTAATCAATTTTATAAACATTGAGATGATATGCAGCTTCCCAGAAAAAATTAATAATTTAAGTTATCAGAATATTCATTGTCGTTGCATTATAGATCGAGCTGGATGTCTCCGAGTGTGCTCTGACTCAATGTAGATCTAAACCTTAATTAATGTCTTCACATTGATCTAATAATGCTTAAAATTACTCAGATCAATTATATATTTCTGCAGGTCCTTGGCAGGTTATGCTTAAGCAAGCTGATGGTTCTTATGCTTGCGTCGCAGAAAGTGCTACACGTTTTACATTAGGAGAGGTAAATTCATTTTTTTTGTGTGACTGATTTGTTCTTTTAATACAGTAACTTTTTTTTTTGATTCATCTGTGAATTTCTAAAATTTTAATTTCAGACCAAGGAAGAACTTCTGAGAGTTCTCGGGCTACAGGAAGAACAAGGAAGCTCACTTGAATTTCTCAGAAGGGGTTACAAGGTTCTGAAGCATCTCTCACTTAAACATTTTTGGCTCTACGTGCAAAGATTTGGATAAAATTAAAACAGGATATCTTTCACAAAACTGCCAAAACTTTGGGGTGTTTCCCACGAAAACCCTGTGAACTTTTTTTTATTCCTCTAAACCCCCAAAAATTTTCTCAGGAGACACCACAAGTAATGCCGCTAGTTTTAACCCCCACACGTGACAAGTACATGACTTCAATTGGCCAAAATACCCCTCAGTAACAAAAAATCCCGTGTGCCCGCGCACGCGTGTGCATGTCCTTAATTATAGTTTTTTTTGTTTCTTGTTGACGGTATTGGGGACAGTAATGCCGTTAGGAGGGGTACTCTGGAGGAAGTTAAAAAGCTGAGGGGTGTTATTTGAGGACCACAAAATTCATGAGGTTTAGTGGGAAAAGTTTCGGGGTTTACTGGAAGAAACAAATACATTGGAGGAAGTTAAGCTTAGGGGTGTTATTTGAGGACCACAAAGTTCGTGAGGTTTAGTGGGAAAAGTTTTCAGGGTTTTCTGGAAGAAACAAAGTTCAGGGGGGTTCGTGGGAAATGCCCCAAAGCTTTTGGGGGGGCTTCTGTGAAATTTACCAATTAAAATGGGCTTCTTTGCTTATCTTTTCTTTTGTGTAATTTGGAAATGCAGAATGCTACATGGTGGGAAGAAGATGTTGATTTGGAAATGTATTCCGCGTGGAGGAGTTGAGTTGTGATCATAAATTTCGAAGCGGTCATGATAATAGATGTATGAACACATAGATCCAAGACAGAATCCGCAACTCGAGAAAAAGATCAAATTTTGGAAATTATGAGAACTGTGGGGGTTTCTGCTGCACAGAAGCAATTTTTTGTTTCATTTTTCTGAAGTATCTGTATATGTACAAATACATGTTGTTTGGTGTCACCAAATGTCAAGATATGATTTGCAAAACATACCGTATGGTTTGTGAATGGAATGACAGTAATTTGGCCTACTTCTCTGAAGCATGTGAAGTGATTTGTTTCACGTATATGTTTCTAACTCACAACTGTTGTTGTTGTTGTGAAAGAAGAACTATCGTACGGACTCAAGACTATGGTTGGTTGGTTTTGTTACCCATTTAGGATTTAGTTTCGAAACATGGTGGCAGAGCCGGAACCTCTTTTTGATGGTTTTAGAGTTGTCACTTTCCCTTGGATTTCTGATGGTGTGGTGATTTTTCCGCTGCCCCCGATTACAAGGGGGGTTGGTGGATGAAGTCGCTAGGAAGCATGTTTAGGATAATGTTCATTAACAAGTTCAAATGGTGATTCTTACTCAGGAAAAAAAGGGGAGGGGGGGGGGGGGGGGGGGGGGGGGGGGGGGGTGGGGGGGGGAGGGAAGAAAAGAAAATGAAGATAAAGAAAAAAAAATTAGAGTTACCTGCAAACATACTCTTGAAAAGAAAGGTAAATGAACATGTAATGATTTTTTTGGGTAAAAAGAAGATAATGAGGTATAATTTCAAGATTTTCTAAATAAATATTGTGATATTCTGGTCATAAATTTTCATGTTTGCACACATTTTTATTTTTCGTAGAAACAAAATAACCAATACTCGAATATCCTTTCGCAAGCATTAGATCTGCCACTTCAATCCAAGGAAAGATCCAAAGCAGCCCAATAATATTTTCATTTATGGCTTTTTTTTTTTTTTTTTGGGTATCGGTACAAGGAAATCAATAAAATAATATTTTTATCTATTTCCATCCCTAAAACTCACCCACAATATCTAATAAAATATTATTTTTATCCTCCAACTCATCTCATTTCATCTCCTTTCTTAGACCAAGTGCAATAGGAGGGGAAAAGAGTGGTTTTTCCATAAAGCAGCTAGGGAAATAGGAAGGGAAATTTCAAAAGCTTTCCAAGGGGTGAAATATTTCCCTTCCGTGAAATTGCATGAAATACACTTTATGTGGGGCCCGCCTCCTATATAAGAAAAAGAAAAAAAATTAATGAAGAGTGGTCCAATGGGAGAGGAGCACGCAGCCCCATCAGCCCCCACCAACCCCACGATTTTTGACCAGCCATGCACATGGAAACGTGCCCTCTCCCCATTGGACCAACTCTTTTTTGTTTTCACCTAATATTTAAATTGTAGATTTGGAGCATAAATAATTCGAATTAATTTTTTTTATACCATTATTTCTAATTTTTCAAGGTCTATAAATAGAGCCTAAATTTGTGTCATTTGGACACCAAAAAAATTTTAAGATTTTACACCCTTTATTTCTTCCTTTTTGCATTTCTCTCTACTTTCTTCTTCCATTGTCAAGCCTTTTTTGCAACCTTCATGGATCCTTCACAAAATTATAATTTGCCCCCAGGTTACAATTTTCCTAATCCTCAAAATCCTAATATGCAACGCCCAGAAAATACTCGGAATACGGGGATGCCGACAAATTTTCAGATGCCGTATATGATGCCTCCAAATATGGGCATGCAATACCCGTATAATAATCCTTATATGCCATATGGGTATCAACAATATCCTGGAAACAACTATGCTCCCTCCAATATGAACTTTCCGAACGCCGGTCCGACTACAGAGCCGGTTACACCCCGTTTTAGCAGTGGATCGACCGATATCCCGGAATTTTCCACCCAGATCTCTCTAGGAAATATTGATGGGGATACTCCCCATAGTTTTCTACCTCCAACCCAGCAATCATCCAAGAGATCAAGTTATGATAGTTGGAGCACCGAAGACAACAAAGTTCTACTCACTGGTTACTTTCACTTTAGTAACGACAGTGAATTGGGGAACAACCAAAAGGGTGACACTTTCTGGGGTAAAGTTACAGACTACGTTAATGAGCACTCAACAAGTGGAAAAGTGAGGACCATAACACGGTGTCAAAGTCATTACCGTGACATAACAAAAAAGATTTGTGGTTTTGTTAGTTTAGGGAGAGGAAAAGCGGTTGGTCCGATGATAATTACATATTGAAGGGTCAGGAGTTGTATTTGGAGAAATACGATGGGAAGTTTGCTTTGGTGGATGAATGGAAGCTCGTTCGAAAGCTAGAGCTTCCTTTAGTAAATCATCCACTTCAAGGAAATCGAAGGTCGCAATTGAGGAGGAGTTATCCAATCTAGCTACCGCTCGTGATAACTTTGAAGAGAAGTAAGCAAATACTATTTCAGCTATGAATCGCCTCGCTCGTGCCAAGCAGATGGAGATGTGTATATTATTGAAAAACAAACCAGATCGAGACGATGAAGAAGAAGAATTATTGAATATGTTGAGGAAGGATCTGTTTGGCAAATAAGATCATGTGTTATGCTTGTGTGTTTGATTTTTGAAGTGTTTTGTGTTATGTGTGTTTAACCTCAGAGTCGTTGTCTGTTTGTAATGTAATTTTAATGTTTCAATAAAATTGTTGTTTATGTTTGAATAAATACGATTGAAATGACTACACCCTGCACAACAATACAAAAGATGAAATGACTACACTCTACACAATAATACAAAAGATGAAATGACTACACTCTGCACAATAATACAAAATATGAAATGACTACCTGTCCCAGCAATTGCATGTTAAGTCAATTATTTGAACACATACCATTCGTTATAAAAACTGACCAAATGCACATCATAAGTATACCTATAACCATTTGTTCAGCATATCATCCAATGGATCCAACCCTAAATGAGTTCAGTCTTGAAGAGTTCCAATGACAATGGGAGTTACAAGGAAAAATACTTGATAGGCAGCAAGAACTGCTTGAAGAATTGCAAAGGAGAAATGAAAAAACACATAAGAGAAAATCCATATATAGAGATCATCATGCAGCACATGAGAGGCTCATGGCCGACTACTTTGCCGAATCATGCACTTACACTGATGCCCAGTTCCGACGCAGGTATCGAATGAAAAGGCCTCTCTTTTTACGAATTGTGGACTCTCTATCCAATTACGACGACTATTTCACTCAAAGATGGAATAATGCCGGCAAGCTTGGTTTAACACCTATCTAGAAGTGTACGGCTACCATACACATGCTCGCATATGGAGTCCCAGCAGATGCTTGTGATGAGTACGTGAAGATAGGAGAATCCACTACAATTGAGTGTACTCGCAAGTTTTGTGAAGGGGTAATAGCCTTGTTTCAAGATGAATACTTAAGACGCCCAAATGTTGAAGACTTGCAGAGGTTGCTCCAGGTTGGTCAGGAGCGTGGTTTCCCCGGAATGATTGGAAGTATCGATTGCATGCACTGGCAGTGGAAGAATTGTCCTAAGGCTTGGCAAGTGCAGTTTACTAGTGGGCACAAAGGCACAGCAACAGTCATTCTCGAGGCGGTTGCGTCATATGATTTGTGGATATGACATGCTTTTTTTGGGTTGCCTGGTACATTGAACGACATAAATGTACTAGATAGGTCACCGGTTTTTGACGACATTGAGTCGGGTGAAGCACCACAGGTAAACTTCACCGTGAATGGGCGACAATACAATCCTGCATACTATCTAGCTGATGGAATCTATCCTAAATGGCCTGTCTTCGTCCAGTCAATACAAATGCCCTAGGGCAACAAACAACAATTTTTTGCCAAACAACAAGAATCATGCAGGAAGGACATGGAACGTGCATTCGGGGTTCTCCAAGCACGGTTCGCTATTGTTCGCCAACCAGCTAGAATGTGAGATCTTGATGTCTTAGGAAAAATAATGAGGGCGTGTATTATTTTACATAACATGATAGTCGAGGATGAGAGAGATACATATTCACGAAACTGGGAAAATATCGACTTCGAACCATCTAACAATTCTGACTCTACCTCCTCTTTCGATGTTCAAACAGAAGTGTTGCCCGAGTTCCAAGTGCACGTCCAAGCCAGATCCGAATCAGATATTCATACTAGAGCCGAACTACGTGATAGGGCCCAACACATTCAGTTGAAGAAGGATCTCGTCGAGCACATTTGGCAAAAATTTGGAACAACCCTCGACTAGATTTACCAATTTAAAGTGTTTTCTTGAATGTTTTCAATAATTTGTATGTTTGGTTTTTCGTGTGCTTAATAAAACCGTGTGTTATTTTATGTTAATTTAATAATAATATTAAAAATTAAATTAGTAATATATATAAATATTAAATATTATTTATTGAATATTAAATTATTAATAAAATTATAATTATAAATATATTAGTTATAATAGTAATAATAATATATGAAATAAGAAATATGAGTGAATAAATATGGTGGGGTATATGTTGGTGTGATGTGGTTATGGTGGGTCCCAAATAAAGTGAAAAAGTTTTTGAAAAACTAGCTGTTGTAGAGTTGATAGGGAAATGAGTGTTATTGAATTATGTGGTGGGGGAATAAAGTGATGTGGCAGGAGAGAAAGAGTTGATAGGGAAATGAGTGTTATTGAATTATGTGGTGGGGGAATAAAGTGATGTGGCAGGAGAGAAGGGGTGAAAATTTGCCTACCTGCTGGAGATGGTCTTATCTTTAAAAATAAACCAAACACAAGAAATGTGTCACATCATCCAACTCATTACATCTCATCTTATACCATTTTTAAAAATCACACACATCATCCAATAATATTGTGACAACTCATCTCATCTCATTAAACCTTCCTTTCCATCCATTTCCTCAAAAAAAAAAACAAGAAATTGATTTCCTTAAGTATGTGTCACATCATCCAATAATATACCTCCAACTCAACTCATCTCATCTATTTTCTTATTTTTAAAAATGAACTAAACACAAACAACCTCAAAACATCATCCAATAATATACCTCCAATTCATTTCCTTATTTTTTTAACCAACCAAACAACCTCAAAACAAGTTTTTTTTAAAAATCACTCACATCATCCAATAATAAGGTGACAACTCATCTCATCTCATCTCCTATTCTATAATTTCCTTCTTTTTTAACCCAACCAAACAACCTCAAAATGATTATTATAGGAAATAAGTTTCCTATTCTTTAATTTCCAAGTTTTTTTTGAAACGAACGGACCCTTATGTAATTTATGTGAAAATTACTGGGGGGTTAGTCATCTAGAACTTAAAATTAGAACTGGGATAATTTATGTGATAAATTTTTAAGGTGTTAGTCACATAGAACTAGAAAATGAGATATTTTTTTATAGTGTTAGTCAAGTAGAACTTTTGTAGAACTAGAACTGTATTATTTTTTTGGTGCGTTAGTCAAGTAGAATTCTACTAGAATTAGAATTGGGATAATTGGTCATAATTATCCCACAAATTATACTACCTATATATATAACCATAAGTTCTCCTCTCTCAATTGGAAAGAATACAATTGGGAAAAAAAGTGAAACGTCGCCTCCCTCCCTCTTGGTTAGTTTCTCCGCCTAGAAAATTTCTCTGCCATGAAGTCAATCATCCGTTCATTTTTCTGTCTTTACTTTGTTTTTGTGATGATTAGATCTTTTATTATTATCTTCAAGATGTATTACTTTATTGATAGCTTTTTGACGTTAAATTACTTTATTATTATTTGTTTGATCTAAGTTTTCTCTCCACAACAGTGGTTTAGGTTAAGAATATAGTGTTGGTGGGTTAGTGCTAAAGATATGCGGGCTATTTATGTTTTTTTTATAAGTTAGAAAGCAACTTTGCGATCACATTGATGATTAGATGTTGAATGGTTAATGGTGATATCTATTATTATTAAATCGGCTCAGTAAATTGATTGGGATATTTATAATTCATCTGTCAATCATCTGTTTAGCGGCCATGGATGATTCCTGTATACATTTTATTTATTTGCTGATTTGGTTTCAGCGATCATGATGAGATTGGTCCAAAGGGTTAATGGCTGAAAAATGCTTATTTTTCTTTCTTTATGATGTTATGAGATTTGAACTTCGACATTTATGATCCTCCACTAGAAGCTCCACGAAATGTTGCTGATGCAGACAATGACTCCGATAAAGAAGACGAGTTACAGACTTAACGAGCAGCTGTAGAAGCTTGGAGAAATTCTATGGCAGATGCCATGTGGTATGATAGAAGCCATGTGAGATGATGGAAGTCGAGTCACTCTAGGGATTTAGATTTTTATTTATTTGTAAATTATTTTATTATTTGAGATGAATAGTGATGCTTTATTGCATTATATTTTATAGTTATCACTAGAATTTGCTTATCAATATTATATTATTTTTAATATACAATTATTAACAATAGTATTTTATACCCACCATTACCCCCACCAAATTATCCTACCAAATTATGCAACTTCATAATATTATTCATCATTATCCCACCAAATTATCCTACCAAATTATCACACTTTTTAAGAATTACCCATCATTGTTCCACTAAATTATCCCAGTGTTAAAAAATTATCCCACTTTACCAATTATCTCAGTTTTACTTAAAAAATTCTAGGTGACTAACCCCCTACGTGAAAATTACTGTAGCTAGAAATCCAGTTGGCAGACTAGACCTCACAGCCACCGCTCAAAACAATCTTTTTGGGAAGAATTGATCAGACGCTGGCAATTAAGATTTATTACTGTCAAATCATCACTCTATTTGCACAACCAATCAAAGTTACTAGTTACTAAACCTGACAGCTACAGTGCTTTCAAGCGAAAAGAGCCCAACCAAACGGGCCCTTATAAAGACCCAAGCCCGTATGGTTTTAAAGATTAGTAGCCCACGCATGCGGAGCACGTGATCGAACGGATCTCCGATCTCAAGCAGCGCCGGCGATTTATAGAAGGATCATCTTCTTCTTCGGAGATCTCTCCACTCCCCTAAACACAAGACCATAATTTTCGTAGATCTAAGGGGACGATAAAATGGGTACCAAGATCCACAAAGTTTCGATCTTTTTGATCGCCGCGATCCTCGCTACCCTATCTCTGGTCTCATCCGTCGATGACAAATGCGCCGCTTGCAATGCTGTTGCGGTAAAGCATAATTATCGAATTTAATTTAATTTTTTTTCTTTTGAGTTTGCCTGCGTCACATGTAAGGTTTAAGCTTGGGTCTCATTGGATTTGCCTTGAAATTGTTTTTCTTTTTGTGTAAAATCGATTTCTTTGAGGTTATGTTGTTAATTAATTATTTATTCTAGATCACCCTGTGAAATAGTTCTTCGGACCTATTTGCTCACCGTGGCAATTGATGAAATTTCAAAAAGAATATGCTAGCGTTTTTGGTTTTGAGAAAAACGTATCCAGTATCTTTATGCCCTTTAACTTTTCGTATTGGTTTTGGATGTGGACTTGGAAGTGAGAAAACAAACTAAAACAATTTTGCGTAACTTGGTTATTATGTTCTCTATCACTATTATGACCTTGGGGATTCTTGTACTGTCGTCTTATCGATGATTTATCCATTCTGATTTTTTCGAGATTCATGGATTCAGGAAGCCACATCATTCTGTCCTCAAAGCATGATAACACTAGATTTCGAAGCCAACCTTCTTATGAAAGGATAAGAAGCCATCCCTTTCCGGATGTGCTTCTTGAAGAAACCTTCTTTGACAACCATCTTTCTGTGCAAAGCTACATTCATGTCCTCAGAGCAACTCCAATGGGGAGGCTGCAAAATGCAGCCTCCCCAAAGTATATTCTTGGGAATATGCTTTTTTAGAGGGGGGCACTCCAACCACCCCCTCCATATGAAGCTCTATTTTGTATTTTTAATTGATTTTTTTTATAATACTTTAAATAGATTTGAAAATATAAAAAATATAAAATGTTAAAAAATTATATGAATTAATTTAAAATATAAAATATATTATAAATTAATACTAAAAGTATAATATATAATATACTTATTATTTAAATAAAATTAATTATCTTTAATAAATTGATAATAAGACATAGATAAGAGCCTTTAAATTTTAAAAAGCAGAAAATATAGCATAATATTTGGAACAACCTTCACAGCTACTCCGAATGATGAAATTTTATATATTACATTCAGCGGCATTACATAGAAAAATAAAGTATATAAAAAAAACTAAAAATCGGGCAGGCCATTTCCTCCATATCCACCGCTTCTGTAGTCAGGTATTCCGTATTGACTTCCTGCATAACTATATTCAGGATTAGGAATATCAGATGAAGAACCTCCGGTTGTGTTTCTATTTAAAATCTCTTGTTTTTTAATTCGAAAATACTCGCGTTCCGAAGGATCAGTAATAGTATCAAGATTAATCAACATAATCTTACTTTCCTGGCGTTCCCTTTGAATATCTAATTTTTTCTTTTCGTTTTCGGCCCTTAACATCATAATCTGGTGCATTGTTATTCTATTATTTTCTCGTTATCCATGACTTTTTTTTAAAATATCGATAATTTCTTGATTGCTTTTATTGAGAGTTTCCAAGTCGAGGTTCTTTTCAGTTGCCTGTCGCCTCCTCATCTTCTCTTTCTTCCTTCCTGTCGGTCGACTTGTTATCATATCTTCGTCATTATGAGTATATTCCTCATTATCGTCATTTAAGTCGACGACAGGAGAACTTGAATCTGATCCCTGAGATGAGCGGGACTTTGAAGTTTTGGAAGTTGCAGGCGATCTGACACTTATATTTGCCCATTTCTCTGCATCTTTTAAAATTGACCAAACATGATCAAATAGAAACCCCTTTCTCTCTTCTGGATCTTCTGCAAATATTATCCTAGCACGTTTAATCTACCACAAGAGAGGAAGAAACATTTATTAATAACATGATAGTAGATGATAATCAAGATTTATGTTATTCAAAATACTTACAATGTCAAGCTCAGAAGCACCGCTTGGATTTAAGCGCTCGACTTGTCGAATACATCCTCGAAATTTACTGATGGCCTTCATAATTAATTGCATTCGGCATGAGAGAGACTTCGGAGTCCTTTGAGCATTACAAATATTCAAAATCCTTTCATGAAATAAAGCAGAAATTCGTTCCCACAGCTTGTCCTTCTTTTGATTAGAACCCATGACTGGATCTTGAGAAATTTCGAGCCATGTGGCGCATAAAATTTGGTCTTCTTCTTGTAAAAAAGATTTTCCGCGACTAGATGCCATAATCTAAGGAGGAATGTAAAGAGTTATAAATATAGAATAAGAAGAGTTGTGGTGGAGATATGAAAATTGTGCAAGTATTATATAGGGATCAGATGTGGGGAGTCTCCAACACCAGGAGAATCTAATGTGGGGAGTCTCCAACACAAAAGGAATCCAATCTGGGGGTGAGAAGCCAATGCTGAAAAGAATCCAATGTGGGGAGTCTCCAACACGAAAGGAATCCAATGTGGGGGGGGGTGAGAAGCCAATGCTGAAAAGAATCTAATGTGAGGAGTCTCCAACACGAAAGGAATCCAATGTGGGGGGGTGAGAAACCAATGCTAAAAAGAATCTAATGTGGGGAGTCTCCAACACAAAAGGAATCCAATGTGGGGGGAGAGGGGTGAGAAGCCAATGCTGAAAAGAATCCAATGTGAAGAGTCTCCAACATGGAAGGAATCCAATGTGGGGACTCTAACACCAGGAATCCAATGTGGGGAGTCTCCAACAAGAAAGGAATCCAATGTGGGGAGTCCAACATTAGGAGAATCCAATGTGGGGAGTCTCCAACACAAAAAGAATCTAATATGGGGGTGAGAAACCAATACTGAAAAGAATCCAATGTGGGGAGTCTCCAACACGAAAGGAATCCAATGTGGTGAGAAGCCAATGTTGAAAAGAATCCAATGTGGGGAGTCATATTATATAATGACATTACATCCATCTCTAAATAACTCACAACGGGAGTCATATTATATAATGACATTACATCCATCTCTAAATAACTCACAACTTATATGATTATTTCTATAAATAACTTCTTCATCCATCCATCTCTAAATAACTCACAACTTATATGATTATTTCTATAAATAACTTCTTCATCAATGAACTATAGAGTCGGACCATCACATCTACCTCCTTCTTCTTCTTCTTCTTCTGACGACAAAATATTTTCTCAGTACATTAAAGATTGGGAGGAAGATATAACACAATGGGAGAAGGAAGATGAACTCTTAGCTCGCGTACATGCTTCTAATAATAAAATAATGACTTATCTCTCTCAAGAGGCAGAGCGGCCAAAGCGTATTGGCTCAGTTCCTGGTCATTTGGTGATCAATCGCGGGAGGGAAGAAGGTAATTCTCGACTTTACCATGACTATTTTTCTGATAACCCTACATATGGTGCAAACCTATTCCGTAGAAGGTTTCGGATGCATAGGAGTTTATTCCTTCGTATAGTCGAGGTGGTACGTGAGCATGACAACTTCTTCGTACAGAAGATGGATGGTGTCGGCAAACTTGGGCTATCAACTTTACAAAAAATTACATCGGCATTTCGCATCTTGGCGTATGGAACATCAGCAGATAGTACTGACGAATATGTTAGGATCGGTGAGTCAACTGCAATTGTATGTTTAAAGAGATTTTGCAGAGCAATTGTAGAAGTATATGGAGATGAATATCTGAGGACCCCCAATGTCGACGATGTTGCAAGGTTATTGCAAAAGGGCGAAGAAAGAGGTTTTCCAGGAATGTTAGGAAGTCTAGACTGTATGCATTGGCAATGGAAAAATTGTCCAATAGCATGGGCAGGACAATACTCAGGCCGTCATAGAGGTCTAACCATTATTCTTGAGGTAGTAGCATCATATGATCTATGGATATGGCATGCATACTTTGGCTTACCAGGATCCAATAACGATATTAATGTATTGCAGTCATCTAATTTGTTCGACAATCTATCACAAGGTATTGCTCCTCCTGCTCATTACACAATTCAAGGAAAAAATTATGATGTCGGTTATTATTTGGCCGATGGCATATATCCGAAATGGCCAACACTTGTTCAAACCATTTCTAATTCTGATGATAAAAATAAATAATATTTTGCAATGATGCAAGAAGCATGTCGAAAAGATGTTGAGCGGTCATTCGGTGTTCTCCAATCACGATTTGCTATCATCAAGGGGCCAGCCTGTTTTTGGGATAAACGAACTCCATTCGGTGTTCTCCAATCACGATTTGCTATCATCAAGGGGCCAGCCTGTTTTTGGGATAAACGAACTCTGCATGATATCATGACTGCTTGTATTATAATGCACAATATGATTGTCGAAGACGAACGCGACGAGCAAGAAGATGTTGTCATTTCAACTCCACAATCAATTCCGAATGTTGAAAATATGGAGATAACGGAAACTGAACGATTCCAACGGTTTCTTGCTCGACATAAGAGGTTGAAAAACAAAGAAGCTCATTTTGCACTTCGAAATGCATTGATTGAACATTTGTGGGAAAGATATGGAAATGAAGCGATGTAACTTTTTTTGCCTTTGAAATAATGACTTTTTCATTTTTAATTACTTGGTTCTTGAAATTTTATATTTCAATTAATATTATTCAATATTAGTCTCATTTTGAAGGTATCGACAAAACATTTCCAACTGTAAAACTTTTATTTAAAAATAATTAGTAGAAATAAACTTATGTTGATTTTAAGTTGAATATCTAAAAATAATTAGTTAGTTAGAAGGGTAATATTGTTATTTTTTAGGGGGAATAGTGAAATGGAGGGGGCTGCATATTTGGAGCAAAAACTCCAAATATGCAGCCGGGTGGGATTTTTTGCAGCCAAGCTCCAAAATTTGGAGCTCGGTTGGATGCCAACCGGGCTGCATTTTGGAGAAATGCAGTCCGGTTGGAGCTGCTCTCAAGACAACATTAATACCTTCTTCTGGGGTCATGCTTTTTTAATCCTTTTTTTATCAGATTGTCATTTCCAATATACACAAAAATTTTCATTTATAAAGTACTAAGACTATGAACCATCAATGCAACTGCAACTTGTAATAAATTAAAGGATGGCACATATAACCACTTGCTCAACTTTTTTAAGCAACCAGGACAACAAGGAATATCGTGGCATGAAACTGAGATCACAGCAACCTTTTCTGTAGTAGGATGAAGTAGAATTTTCTAGTATAATCTAGGTTCCTGAGAGAAAAGAGTAATAGAGCTCTTTGTAATTGATTGTTCACATCCCTTTGCCAATGTGCATATACTTCACGATCTTTGGTTCGTAATATAATCATATATATACGTATAGTGCTTGTACACCAAAGTTCTGTGCCTCCAGGTCCAAATAATTGCGATCTTCAAATTTTCAACTGACATATTAGAGTCTCTTTATTGAACCTCAAGTAATATACAATAATTTCGTTGATTATGGTGATGCAGAAGTTACTTCTATCTAACTAGTTTCTCTAAAAATGAGTTGCATGCAGAGTCTTGTGTTAACGTTTGTGCAATCTTGAATTATTGATCATAAACATTTAGTAATTCAACGTAAATAATTATTATTATTTTTTCAGAAAGTGCAGTCTTCATTGACTCTAAGCCTTCTGAAGGATGAATGCTTACTTTATGAATATATTCTTTTCCACATCCTCTTCTTCTAGTTGATAAATAATGGGCGTTTATGGTTCTTTCTGCTTCTTGGATATGACAAACTTTGATTAATATTTGGTAACCTTACAAAGTGATTCTGAGTGTTGTTACAAATAACTTTCAAGTTGAACTAGATACGTGAGTTAATTGGTTTGTCAATTCGTACTTTTTGTGTAATACACTATCCTTCCTTTCATATATCAATGATACTTAATTGTGCTCTGGGTATTTGCAGGCTGAACTAGAGATTGGACTTTCTAATGTGAGTATTTTCTTCCCTGTTTCTTGTATGTATTGATTTTCCCATGTTGTGGAATTTATTAGAGTACATGTTTCAGAGCATGATGCTGTAGGATAAATATATTGGTTTAACTTGAATATTCTTGTCATCGAACATGTGACTCCAGGCTGTACCATGCTCTGGTGGTTATGTTCACTCGACTGTTTTATTATATCTTTTGACGTTCTCATCCTTGAATCATCAATAGCCATGTTAGTTTCAATACGTTTGTCGGGTTTCTTGTTTCCAGCTATGTGTATGTGTATGTAAAGTATATGTGAATGTATGTAAAGTATATGTGTATATAATTCATATCTATGCATGTATACATATGTATGTATGTATACATGTACATGCATATTTGTATACTTGTAACGCGTGTGCTGTGTGTGAATGCACGTGTTTCTTGTTGCATGTCGGTAATTTGTTTGCACAATGCACATGTACCACACATATTGATGTATGTATGCATGTAACTTTGTAAAGCTTACAGTTTGTTCTACAATCTCAGAGTTCGTTCTACAGTCTCTTTTATCATTTCTTTCATTAGCATAAGCTTGAAATATATAAATTATCTTTGTGTGAGCTGATTGAGAGGTCACACCAACAGTTCCCTTAGGTGCTCTTCACTGTAAATTTAATAATAAAAAAAAATTAAAACACTCAGATCGGTGTGTGGTTGAGTTGTTTGAATACATTCCTAATTTACATTACTTTCAAGTTTTCCTTAAACTAGAAATATTCTAAGTCTATGCTCATTCTTCCATGTTTCTGTTATGCATTTAGTTCTTTGCTGTATTGCTCGTAGTCTTGTACCTATCCTGTAAATAAAAATAGCTTAGTCATTGCTGTGAATAAACACCAAATGATCTGGTTGTTTCACATCAGTTCCTAATTGTGTCAGCATCCACTTATCTAGAAGGTTTACTATCATGTTCCACTTATCATTGACATGATTGATGTTTACGATTAACGTGGTCTACTATTTTTTCATGAAAACTGTAAACAGTCACACTTGTTATGTACACAATAATCTGCGCAAGCGAACATCTGAAAAATAGAGTTACCATTAAGCTTAGTTACATGGTCTATTTCCACACCATAATTATGAAGAAGTGTTCCAACATATGAACTTGCTCCTTGGAAAATTCGTAAGATCCAATTACTTGATACAAAGCAGTCTTTCTAGGATGGAATCCTTTTTGATCAGACATACCTTACATTTTTCAGTTATTAGCTTTATAGCGCAGGAAATATTTCACTGAAATGTGAAATCCTTGCCTTTGTATATACACACTCCTAAGTGCCCAGGTCATGATATAAATTTCATATGCACTTCTTTTCCTAGCAATTTTAGCTATTTGAGCATCTTTTTTCAAGTTTGGTTGTCGTAGTCCTGTCTGTGGCTGCTGCAATCAAGGATGATATTGAGAACTTCACCATGATACCTTTTCTGTCAAACAGACAATGATCAATAAATGACAGGAAGCAATGCACTTATACCACCCTGTTAATGCCTCTTTTTTAAAAGAGATTGTTTTTTGGGTGTCAATACCACCAATATTCTAGTTCATGTGTGACTAGAATGCATACGAATATGATATCATATGATGCGTCGAAAACATTGAAAATGTTTCCCGTCTTGTACTTCCTCCAGGAGAAGCCAAGAAATCATCTGGACATGCGTCATCGTTTGGATTCTAAAGGCCAACGTGAAGGAAAAGTCATAGATTACAGGTTTGATGATAAAAACGTGAACCATTCTAATTTTATCCCAGGAATAGCTGTCTCGTTCAAAATTATTATGTTAGGACTTTTGAATCATGCCATTGCAAATTTTACTGTAAAAATTTAATTGTCCTTTAATTCATTTGTAGCTCAAGCTATGAGCATACCTGTATTCTAGCTTCTTATTTGCATTATTGTTGTGGATCTTGTCGGCTCTGTTTTTTTACTTTGCTGTTAAGCTGGGTCACATGACTAACTAAGTTTTTTGTTTTTATCAAATCTTCTGCTGTATAAACCACAACAGTGTCTCTTGGATTTACGTAGTCATGTGGACAATGTATGATGAGTGAAATGCCACAGTTTACTGAGCTAGATAAAGATCCACTGTGTCTGTAAAAATGCAATAGTTTAGGTGAAAACATTTGGAAGTAGATGCTTCGAATTAGACTGTTGTGCTTTGCCAAAGAAATAAATTCACACAACATCTTTACTAGTTTTTTCATGTTTTATATCTCTTAGAACTGTGAGTGCTGTCAGTAAGAGATTAAACTCTTGCTATCAACTGTATTAGGTGATGAAGAAGATAGATCTAAGAAGAGACTACTTCATTGTCAGATCATGCAGTCAATTGTAACTTCATGACTCAAAAGCACTTTCTATATTTTTAGTTGTTACTTTTTTCTTCCTTCTTTGTTCATCTCTCACATACTTGCCTGCAAAATAGCCACTTCTGATCCATACTTTTTATATCCTTTCACTTGATGAATTGGTCACTTGGAAATTATCTGCAAATGAGAGTTTATTTAGGATGTTCTTATATATAAATGATCCAAATGCATTGAACTGTAAGTGATGAATGTTGATATTTCTTTCATCAGCTTCCTTGTCTGGAAATTTGTTTATAGACATACTTTTCTCATTGAGTTTTGTAAACCTTCTCTATGCTGTGATATTCTTTAAGGCCCCGTTTGGCAAAGAGTTAAGGAAGAAGGGTTAAAGAGAAGGATTAATGTACTTAGCCCATTCGATAATTTGAAGGACTAAATTATTAACCCGTTAAATAAGTTTTATTTTAGTCCTTGTGATCAGTTTTAGTGTTTGGGAATAACAATGATTTTGACTATTTTCTTTATAATTAGAATGGTTAACTTTTATTCCTTCTAAATAGGAGTATTAGTAAACCCCTCATTTTGAGGGGTTAACTCAGTTTAATCCCTCTAGAGGGGTTAACTTAACCCTTCTATATTTTTTATGTTTGGCAAATTATGAAAGGTTAACTCACTTTAACCACTGTATAGATTTTTTGTGTTTGGCGGGTTAAGAAGGGGTTAAGTTTCCTTAACCCCTTACTTAACCCTTTGCCAAACGGTACCTAACTGCATTATCATGATATTGATAATATATAGTGGTTAACTTGCATATTCATTCATCTTTGTGACTGCTGGTTTCTTTTATTAGTGGTGAGCTGATATCAAAGTTTAGAGATTTTATTTTGTACCAGAGTCAGTGATCTTAGAGTTGTTGAACTCCTGGATGGTCTCTGTGACAAAATGCTGGACTATGCTCTTGAAAAGGTATATTTTCACAATTAATTTAATATACTTGTACTTGTTTACTGCATATGAATTAAGTAACCATTTGATTGCGTTTCTCCTGTTCTCGTTAATGCCATGCTAACATATATTAGGACACATTTCCGACTATAAATTGTATTTTAGTCTGTTGGTACTTCATAGGGTCAGGTATTTAGTAAAATTTAAATCATTGTGGTGAAATTTGATAATAGAACTTTTTGCAGTTGGATTCTGGAAAGCGAGCTTGGATTAAAGTGAAGAACTGGGATAACCTTCGTGCTGGTGATAACCTTGGAACCTGAATTAATCTGCAAGCACCGTCTTTTTTCTTCTTCATCATCACTTCTTTTGGCCTTTATTTTGTAGAATTTAGCTCAGTATTAGAGGAGATTTTGCTCCTGATATATATGTTTCTTTTTAAATTAAGAAACATGTTGATAAAGTAATGACTAGACTAGTTATTATTATTTGCAGATATGGAATTATCCTTAAGTTCATTCATTATTATGGTCAGGTGCATTTTGCCTTGCTTAACGTTGCCTCTTACGATTGGATGCATTTTTTTTTGCCTCACAATTCCACTTACACTTACTCAAAATTTTGGGACTTTTGTTAGCTCTTTCAGCTACTCATGCAGGTCAAATTACCCTTTTGGTTATATTATTTGCAAAGACAGTGAGGATTGGAATTGTTATGTTTGAAATAAGAAATAGAAAACAACTTAACCAGATTCCTTTTTTTGGACAATTAGTTTATCCATGTGGAGAATTACTCAGGAAAAGGTGGGTATCTATTATTTTATTAATGATAGAAGATAAGCTGACATGATGTTTACTACCATAATTGTGAGTAATTCTATGCAAATCTTTGCAACTAGCTATGGGGATACTATGGTAATCCTGGTAAACTGGACTAGCATCTATGCATCACAGGTATGGGTACGGCACACAGCAAATTTGTAAACAGCAGGGTACAGTGATACAACTACACACACACACATTTGCTATATTTCTTTTAGCATGTAGATTATAAATGAGGAACTGTGTACGTTGCAGATGATGAATCCATAAACTGGACCGTAATGAGCTTTTGAAAAGTAGAACAGAGGCGGCCAAGAAAAAAAGTGACATAATTAGATACTGACATTAAGACTTGGTGGCCTAGAAATAAAAGAACATGAAACTGAAAATATCACAGATAGTCGAGTGTAATGCCATTATTCAGGAAACTATCAAAAAAGAACTTGAATAGCATTCAGCTTGTTCACAAGACCAACCCAAGTAAATATTATAAAATTTTGTACAGGATCATGGGAACAGTAACTCTCACAAATTGATAAAAAACAAAATAAAACTGAAAATATTCACAATAAATTGCACAATTTTACCATAGCTGTAGAGGAGTTATCATTACAAATTGATAAAAAAACAAAATAATTGAAAATATTCACAATAACAAAACTTCAATGAAAAAATGGGAACTATGGAGAATAGAAACACAAATGAAAAACTTAATTGAACTTTAAATTAGAAAACTCTAAAAAAAAGCCCTAAAACATCAGTACATAAATAACTCACACTTACCTCTTTGTAATTTCTTGAATCTCCTCTCTAGCACTGAGTAACAATGAAATTTAGGTACCATCGGATGTTTTGAGCAAGATGATGCAGTCAGAGAGATAAGACGATTGGAAGCCTGAAAAAAAACGTGTGAGAACAGCAGTTCCGAGAGAGATTCGGTGTATATTAAGTTTGGATAATGACCTAAAAAACGGGTCATGGGTTAACGGGTTCAAAACACCGTTTTGCTTTGAACCCGATAAGAAAACCCCATCTTATTCATTTTCCCCCAATCACGACTTCCAGTTGCTGTTACCGTGTCCAAGCCATATTGGGCACATACCCACACCCGAGACGGGTAGTACCCGTGCTTCACAGACTAGCATGTTAGTATATTAAGTCTGTGGGTTAGTAACCAATCCAAACTGACTTGACATGATATCTATCATGCTTCCTTTCCCCCCTAGGTAAGCTCCTATCTGCAGAGGCTATTGACCCTGTGATGGTCTGATCTTCAATTGTTTTTGGAGCTCTGAAGCACATAGTAGTTCAGACAGTCGATATCCTTTCCCTTGATGGTTTTGTCTGCATTCCTTGGTTGTATTTTTACGTAAGTCAGAATATTAGACATAGCTTGGGGACCTGTCAAGCAAAAGTAATCTGTATCTATAGTGAGAATAATGCCATGGCAACTCTTTAGCTTCTAAAGTAGTATCTCATCTCCCTTTCACAGCTCAAAATTACTAGATTTATCTTCATTTTTTAGTCTCAGATTCACATCTAGCTATTTGAAGTATTTATTTTGTTTAGAGTTGCACTCCGACAGGTTCCAAAAATTATTATACAGTGGAGTTGTACTCTCTTGGGGTGTGTTTGCCATGAGTGAAGTTTGTTTTTCTCTTCTCATGTTTTATACTTCTGCATTCCTCTTATAAAAAATCCACTTGGGTTCCTTCAGTATTTCACGGAATTTCCAGCTAATAAAAAAGGGGTCACCTATTTATAAGCCAGTCGATCTGGTTTGATAGTCTTACAAGCCTATTCAGCTATTAGCTGATGGATGGATGATAACTTCGTATTCCACATTCTAGCCATCATTTATTTTCAGTTGGTGTGAAAAAGAGAAATACAGATGCACAATACACACCTATATATTCAGATAACTTGTCATATGTTAAGGATTATAATGATAATAGGTACTATATCTTGTGAAGTTCTATATTATGCTATCTTCAACGGGGGTGAATTTATGTGCTACCATACATAACTGATTGCTGAAGTTGCTGCCAGTTTCTTATTCCATGAGGATATCAACTATGATCCATGATTCTTTTGGTTTGCTTGTCATTTACCATGGATATGCTTCTCTCTTGTTGTTGAACTTAATGTTGAAATTCTTCATGAGATTCTAAACAAATGTCCTTTTGGATTAATAGATAAGCGAGAAGCACGTGCATCCTCAAAAGATATTTCCTCCTTTTGCGGAAGGTAAGTGGACTGTTTGATGTATATCTTCTATAATTCTCTACTTAGTTTGATTGTAGCACGTGTCGTCTGTTCATGAAATCAATTTTTCTAAAGTGTTGCATGCATTTTCTGGACACTACATCAAATTTTCTGAAGCAGTCATCTTTTTCTTTTCCTTCTTTTTCTCGAATAAGGCCTCGGGTTAAAAATTAATGTCTAATAGTGTGTTTGGGAGATGACTTAGGAAAGGGAAGGAAGGGGAAAAGTTCCCCTTCCTTCCCTTCCCCTTCATTACACCCCAATTTGGGGTGTAAGATCTTGGCTCAAAATTTCCCCCCATTCCCTTCCTCTACCCTCCTAAATGGAACTCCCAAACAAGGTTAAAATTAGATTTCTCTTCCCCTCCCCCTCTCTACCCTCCCATCCAAACAGGCCATAAATGAAGTATAGAGGGGTTAGTAAGCTATTCCTAAAAGGGCATCCTAAGACTTTGACCCTCCAAACTCACGTGATAGTCCAAGGGACCACTAAGGACCAAAAACAAAAAAGAAAGAGAAAAGACGAGACTATTATGCATAATATCAAAGACGAGACTATTGTGCATAATATCAAATTTACTTTCAACATTTATGATTATTAAGATTTAATCATTCTAGAGAAATCTGTTGCCCAATTGTTCAAATTGAGTTTGAGTTCTTTTCTTTCCATGTGTCACACTTAGAGTGTTTGCTAGTGCTTGTAGTTGTAATGCAGATGTATCAATCCCGTTTAATCACAAATTGGAGCTTAAGAGATGACATCTATTGCTCTGTTTAAACCTTTTCTGTGCTTTAGTGAGTGATAGCTAGTTAGCATGTCCTTTGCATTTGCAATCAAAACTAACCCGATATACTGTGATTCATTATTTTAACTCAGCGCTGATGCAGTTTATATTTACATGGTTCCTGTTAACATGTTTTATGGTTAACTTTTTCCAAAGCTGGCATCGGTACACCAATGATAACTTAATGTCTATTGAAAATTATATGGTTAGTTGCTGTTTTATATCTTCATGGAAGTCTAACCTAGTTTTCAATCTGCAGGTTGCTGGAGGAAACTGAAGATGAGGTGAGAAGTCTCCATGTCATCTAATTTCTTTATATTATTTTCTCTGTAGATTTATTCGTAGGAGTTTTGTTCTTCCCATATATTATGAAATAGAATGAGATTGCTGAATTAACTTGCTAACAGTCTTAAAATATACAGAACAACATTGCTTGGAATACTATGTCATGCATATGAACCTCATACAATCTCTTTTAAGTGAAAAGAAGTAGCATAGTGATACAATACCCACTGCGGATAGTACAGTTGGCGTGGGGACGCAATGGCAATGCTGCCAACACCCTAGGTCGCTGGTCCAAATCCATCTGCCTAAACTGGAGTGTGGGAATGGGAGGTGGGACCCCAAGCCTGAGGTTTACTTGGTCGGGATCAGGGATCAAACTTGGGCTTCGGCCTGGGGATCCTCGTGTCTGGCCGAAGTTTTCCCTCATATTACAAAAAAAAAAAAGAAAAAAAGAAAAAGAAAAGGCACAATATGTCAAAGCAAGGACTCAGAAAGGTTAATATATAGGTACCTGTAAATTTTAACTACAATCAACCAATATGAGCCTACCTGTATGTTATTACACACAAGTTAACTGTCAATAAAAGTGCAGCTAGGTCCATGTATAGAGGCAGAATGATAAACCAATTTGTATCTTTTTTCTCCCTCTTAGTTTGAAGACTATAAGTTTAGTGTTTGTTTTCTGGTTGCTAAAATCTGGTTAGATTTCTATCCCAAAAAAATATAATAAAAATAAGAAAATAAAAAATTAAAATTTAAAAAAAATAAATATATATATAAATTGGTGAACTTTGCCCAACCAACCACTACCACTGCCACATCAGCACCAAATGCAGCCATTCTTGCTCTTCTCATCTTTGAATGGATACTGAGCTGGTTAACTATCAACTAATAGGGTGCCAATAGATAAATATTCAAGCTAATACTGATGGAACTCTTCTATTAATGTCCATCACTTGTTCTTTTCTTATGGAATAATGATCTTGTCTCTGATAAGATATGAATTTCATTATAATTTTTTATGCTTACTCGTTGTAGTTTCATACTCTTTTTTTTTAAAGAAAAGCAAGTGTATAAACAAAAGGTTTGTAGAGGATTTATAGAATATGAATGCAATGTATTGTTTTCTTGTTCCAAAGTGTTCAGCATGTTTCTTGATGGAGTGTGACAAACACGACCGTCTGACTTTAAGTTGCAAAAGATTGAATAATGGAACCTCTTGCAGAACTCAAACTACCAAGGCAAAATGAAGAAAAATGGAAAACATTTGTCTTAGAAGCAAATGTACAAAAATTGACATAAATTTCTTAGATTGTCAAGTACTTGGTAGCTACGAAGAGGACTTAAACCTGGAAGTTTCATCTTACACATAACATAATAAATTCAGAGCTTTCTTTCTGTGACACTTATGCTTCTGTGTAAGATAGACAAACATTGCTATAAAGTTCCTTATTTGAACTTATGAGTTGGGGCTTCAGCTTATTTACCGTGAACTTATTTGTCTATAAATGTTGATATGCAGCTTGCTGAGTGGATAAAACAAGGTTCAATAGAAACAGGAGAAGTAAGCAAGGCCCTCTGTCAAGATCTTAGCAAACATTGCAGCAAAACAAGGTACATTTGAATACAAACATGCATGCTTTTAGACACTTCAATATCTGGAAGTAGTAGTAAACATTACTTTCACCTGTCATGAAGGCGATGTGTGAATCCTGTGACTACAGTAAATCATCCATACTATTGCTAATGGAATGGCTTGAAATGTGCTCTTAACAATATACCTCTGGCCTTGTGTATTTGTTGGCACACTATCCAATCCAACTTGCCAGCCACCTAAAACCCAAATTGAAGGTCGATATATATGTATCCTAGATGGTTGTACCTTTTTTGTGTGTGACACCAGTCATAGTTCTCTTTAGGGGTCTAGATGATATCACAGCATAACACAGTCCTCATCACCTATGCTAGCAGATAGGCAACCTTTCACTCTTCAATCGTTTATTTCCCCTTCAGCTATTGTATAACTAGTAATGTCCAAATTGCTACCTTTATCATATGTAGGATTAGATTGATCATTTGATCTCCTTTTTGTTACGTTCTGTGCAGAGGTTCATCAGATATTGATGACAAGGAGCTATGAAGGGAGATCAATTAGCTAAACAGATTCTTTTTCAGCACACCACACAAAACGATCTGGGTGCTGGGAACCAACTCATCATTTAAGGTCCTTTAACTCTTTATACTCTCTTAACGCAAATGGTTGAGGCTATTTGAGATAGTTTTTAGGCTCCCTGTTCTAAAAGGATACCCGTTCTTGATGTGTGAACATAAACGTAATGAGCATAAACTTATGTTATCTCACACTGACTAATTAAAGAAACTTGGATCTTGGAGATAATTTTGTAACGTGTCTTTTCTGTTCTATTAGCATGTTCTTGCATTTGATTAAGCTATTTTGAGTAGTATGTTAGCATATTCTTATACTAGTTTGCGGTCCGTGCAAAGCACAGTATTTTTTGCTACAGTAACCCCGCTTTTTAATATGGTATGATTTGCATTTTTGAAAGTGCTACAGTATCCCGTTCTGCTACAATACCTTTTTAAATGCTACAGTATACCCGTGTGCTACAATAATGCTTTTTAATTCATTATTAGCTACAGTAATACTGCTACAGTAAATGCTACTGTAGCATTTCTGTAGCATGAACATTGGATCTCTGATTCTCCTATTTGTGTAAAGGAATAGATTAGGAGTCAGGACACACCCGTTCCTCTGCTCCAACGGACAAACTATCTTGATTAATTATTTTGTCCTGTTATGTTGTTTCCTTGTGTCTTTTGTTGTCCTTCATTGTGGTTCTATCCTTCAGCATTATGAGTATAAGCAGATACAAATACCCACGGACAGATCTTCGTTTATGATTTATATCGGATGGGAAATAAATATCAATATTCAATATTCATACCTGGTTGTGTACGGATATAATATCGTTTAGGAAACAATATCTTTTTTTTCTATTTTTAGTAGGATTTTGATATGAACTCTGATCTAGATAGAAAAGTCAAAATCAAGGCATGAATATCCGAATACTTTTGGATCGAATATCATGGAGTTGTTGTTCTTAAAGTAGTGATTTGAAGCTGATGTTAGTGATCCTAGGGATTATCTTTTGGTTTTTGGGGTGCTGGGCATTGATCTTTGGTGGATGTAATCTGTTGTACTTAGATAGTTCTGATATCGCACGATTGATAAAAGCTTTTAGCCTTGTCCATTTTTCTTATATCCGATATGCATTATTTTTTATTTGATTGTGTTTCTCTCTCAATCCGGATTTGTCAGTTTGTGTCCAATATTGGTGAATATGGATGATTCTTGTTGAGGATGAAAGTGAGGAGCGGGGAGGTGCAATGACATGGGGGGGTGAAGAAGAAGAAGAAAAAAAAGCAAGAAAAAAGAAAAAAAAGTGAATTTCCTACCAAACATGGCTTCTAGTTTCATCCCTCATCGGACCTCACCTTTCCTTTACCAAACCATGCCTAAGGTATTATATGTGGATTAGACGCTTGTGCTATGACCAAGTGTGGATAGACTTCATACAGTTCTATTTGTTTGAATAGACCTCCTGAGTGAACTTCTTTAGCTCTATTAAGAGTTGAAAAAAAAAAAGCCTAAGTGAACTTCTTTGACACTAAAAAGACTTCATTCAGAGGGTCTATCCTCAGTTGAAAAATAATACATGGGTCTATCAGCACCGCTACAACTAAGACTAAGAGGGGTCTATCAGCAATTAACCTTATCTCTAATAATCAATGACTTAGGCTGCCAGTAATCCTCTACTTCATTGATTGAAGAGAACCTCTACAACTCATCACCAAGGTAATCTTCTCAATTGGTGGACCGCATTAATGATATTAGTTATCTAAATAATATAAAAATACTTTTAATTATGGGACCGATTGAGATAAGTCAATAGTATTAGTTCACATAGCTAATTGTAGGTGTTCTCTACAATCAAGATTTTAGAGAATCCAAATTTCTAATTTAATAGAGTTTAAGAATCTCATCAATCATCTTTTGACAGCGCAATATTGTTATTGTTGCAAAATAGCTATTAAGGATTACCAGGCCATTACGAACTAAAAAATGTGTGTATTTTTTTCACTTTTCATTTTACTAGATTGGATGTTGCTTGAGGTTAAATATCATTATCCTTTTTTTTGTTCTATTTCTTACTTAACCCGGTTGTAAAACATTTCTTCTAATTTCACATGAAAAAGAAAAATGATTTATTGTCTATATACCTATATAGTTAATCAAAAGTATTAAAATTACCATAACCAAAGTCAAAATTACACGGTCAATTCACATAAGTACAATTTACAATAAATAGTACATGAAGGTGAAAATCCTTCTATGAAAAAAATAATTTTTATGTAATAATTTCATTCTCATCGCAATCCTATGTTTTCATTTTATAATTTACATGAATTCACAGTATTTTATACCCTTTACAATTTTAATAATTAGTTTTCACTTTAATGTGATATCCCACGAGGCTAATATACTCTTAAGGAAAGATTATATACCAGTAACCATAGATCTTAATTATGAGAATTTTTCCAAGGTAACATTATCGTATTCTATATGTGAAATGACCAATTAGTATATTTCATGCTGGTATGTATGTTTTTCGTTATTTTTTGAGACATAAAATTTCCTTATAAGTAACTTTGACTATTTCACATAATTGGAGATTTGCTCATGTGTTTAAATTATGTTTATTTTTTAATGAGAATTATATTCTTATTTATTTAAAGATCCTTCGATCACCATCTCATTCGATTTCTTTTGCAATTCAGAATTTTTTTAGCTCAACTACCTCAGTTACATCTTCTATCAGAGCTCATCTTTTTTTCCTTAATACCTAATGGCTAGTGTTATTCTGATGGGATGTAGTTATTCTAATTCAAGGCTGTCAAAATAATTGTAAGTGGTGAAGACCCTAAATCTTTTGAAATGTTATATATTGAATATCTCATAATAAAATATTACAAAACTTAAACAACACATATTTGAGTAGTTTTACGCACATAATTATTTTTAATTAAGATACCTATTGAATATCTCAAAGACGCACAATTGGTGAAGACCCTAAATATTTTAAAATGATATATATCTAACATCTCATGATCAGAACATTAAAAGGATTTTTATGTGGCTAAAACTAATTTATACCACTTTTCACGCGTCTATAAAGTATAATATTAGAAATATAAAACATTTAAAATAAAATACATTAAATTAGAATCTAGTTTTTAATTAGGAGCCCTTACTTGAATAATTTTATATACATAATTTATTTTACTTAACATACATATTGAACATTTCGAAGGCCTAAATATCCAAGTTTTCACTTTTCAAACTATATTTTTCAGTAATAAAAAATTTAAAGAAAAATCCTTATCCATTAAGTTGGTTGCTTAGAGTAAAATGTTGCATCTTTCCTATTTGATATAGTAATTTATTAAGCAACCAATATATATCATATTTAGTGTAGATAACTATGCAAATAAAGTATAATACTTTAAACGCTAAATATCAACAAAAAAACCTATTAACTTTGGATGATAATCAGATAATCCCACATAACTTTAAAAATATCATAAAATCTACTAAATTTTAGGGGTTATCAGAAAATACCCTTAACTTTAAGATTTTATCAGAAAATCACTCTAAAAGCAATAATTCTAAGGGAATTTTCTGATAAACTCTTAAAGTTGAGGGGGTTTTCTGATAAAATCTAAAAGTTAAAGGGAGTTTCTTATAGTCATAACTTAAAGGGATTTTATAATATTATATCTGAAAAATAAGGAAATAATTTTAGAAAAACTCCCCTCAACTATTTTAATACGAGGAAACCCCTCATGTTTAAGCATATTGTAGAGAACCCCCTCAACTATGAAACTTCAAATAATCACTTGAACTTTCCTCACTTAACCCCCCTCAATTATAGGGATTGTCTATGAAAACCCCCTCAACTATTTCAATTTGAGAAAGCCCTCGGATTTGAGCTTATTATAAATAATCCTCTTCAAGTTTGAAAATTTAAGAAATCCCCATGAACTCTTCACACTCTATGCCCTGAAAGCTAACATTATTGTCCTAATAACCCTACAAGTTCGCATTTTTTCACTTACCCTAAAATATTTTTTAGAAAAAAAAACCCCCAAACATCAGATGTTTATAATTCTAACATTTTTTCAGAGGTTTTTTGTAATTATTAAAATTTTTAAGAGGTTGATTATAATTTTTAGATTTTTAGGAGATTTGCTCCTAATTATAGATTTTTAGGGGTTGTTTGTACTTTTCATATTTTTTTTGGTTTTGTAGTAATTTTCTTGAAGGTTCTTTGCAATTTTCTAATTTAAAGGGGTTTTTTTATGATTTTTCAGATTTTTAGGGGGTTGTTTACAAGTTAAAATTTTTTAGGATACTATTTTTCATATTTTATTTTTATTGGATTTTTTGTAATTTTCATATTTCTTACTGATCATTTATAACTTTAGAATGATAAAGAGTATTTTTGACATATTTAGATTTTCTAAGGGTTTTATTTACAATTTCATGAAACCCTCAAAATTAGTAAAAGTAAATCTCACCAAACCCCTAATAATTTTACTATTTAGAACTAAATCTCAAATACCTTTAAAACTCTCACTAAACGCCTAATAATTTTTGGCATATGTTATGGTGTTTTCAGTTGCCAAATTATGATCCCTTGTCAACTACAGGCAAATAACCCACATTACGCCCAATTCAGTCAACTCGACCTTTGGGACTGCGAAAGTCCCGATCTAGCTGACTCGCCGATCTCGTTGGTCGACTCGAATGACGGTACTTGTTGGTTCTCTCATCAAAGATGACTCGTCACAAGCTTACTCAACTAGTTAATTAGCCGGCATCTCATGGGAACCGACTCGAGAGGCGGTACTTCTCGACGCCCCTCGATACAAGCTAAGAAGTGACTTTGACCTCGAACCCTCCGCTGACAGCGCGTCGACATCATATTAAATACTTGGCAGGTACCATCATTTCTGCATCCCCGATACTATTTATGGCACATCGGATCACACCCCGGCTTCATACGTCGCTTATCCCATCTCATTAATGCTGAAGTGACCACCGCGCCCATTCCGTGACCACTCTATAGTCGATACCTGTAAAGTCGAAGCTGACTCAGTCGCCACCTCAAATTTGATCGAAAGAGACCAAAATGCCCCTCCTACATGATTATAAAAGGAAAAACTATTCCTAATGCAAAGGTAAGCAATTTTCCTGTACTTTTCTCCATTTAACTACCCTTAGGAACTGTTACAGTTCGTTATTTCCCCTCATTCAAGTACCTCGCTAACTTGATCGTCAG